TGGAATTTTGATGGGAATTGCATTAAACATGTAGATTACTTTGGGAGTATAGACATTTTTACTATGTTGATTCTACCAATCCATGAGCATGGGAGATCTCTCCACTTTCTATAGTCTTCCTCAATCTCTTTCTTCAGAAGTGTATAGTTTTCCTTGTAGAGGTCTTTCACATCTTTTGTTAGGTTTACACCTAGGTATTTGATTTTTTTTGAGGCTATTGTAAATGGAATTATTTTCATGTATTCTTTTTCAGTTTGCTCATTATTAGTGTATAGAAATGCTAATGATTTTTCTATGTTGATTTTATATCCTGCTACCTTGCTGTAGCTATTGATGATGTCTAGAAGCTTCTGAGTAGAGTTTTTTGGGTCTTTAAGGTATAGGATTGTGTCATCTGCAAATAGGGTATTTTGACAGTTTCTTTACCTATTTGTATTCCTTTTATTCCTTCTTCTTGCCTAATTGCTCTGGCTAGGAATTCCAGTACTATGTTGAATAGGAGTGGAGATAGTGGGCATCCTTGTCTGGTTCCTGATTTTAGAGGGAATGGTATCAGTTTTTCTCCGTTAAGTATAATGCTGGCTGTAGGTTTGTCATATATAGCTTTTATAATGTTGAGGTACTTTCCTTCTATTCCTAGTTTTCTTAGAGCTTTTATCATGAAATGGTGTTGGATCTTATCAAAGGCTTTTTCTGCATCTATCGAGATGATCAAGTGGTTTTTGTCTTTGCTTCTGTTAATGTGGTTTATTACATTTATTGATTTTCGTATGTTGAACCACCCCTGCATTCCTGGGATGAAGCCTACTTGGTCGTGGTGAATAATCTTTTTGATGTGTTGTTGAATTCAGTTTGCCATTCACCCAGTGCATCTTAAAGAGACTTCCGAAGAAATCATCTGAAGATTTGTTTTTGTTCACTTGTTGTTGAGAAAAGATCTTGCTATGTAGCCTAGGCTGGCCTCAAACTTGCAATCCTCCTTATCTCAGTCTCCTAAATACTGGGTTATAGGTGTGAACTGCCAGGCCCTGATACAAAAAAAATTCTTAGTAAGCCACTTGCTTGAACAGAAGTTCAAACTGAAGGACTCACTTATAAGACAGGAGGAAATTCCTGTAGAACTCCAGAATTTACACAGAGTAAATATTCTCCAGAATTTATTTACATGTCATTCATTTTGAGGAGAGAAGTTTTTTGGGGTTTTTTTTGTCTTTTCTTTTTTGGTGCTGGGATCGAACCCAGGGCCTCACGCATGCTAGGCAAGTGCTGTACCACCGAGCTACATCCCAGCCCACCATTCATTTTGCAAAGCAAACTTTCCATTCTAACTAATTCATGAAAAGTGAGATTTTTACTTTTATGCAAACAATGGAGAGTAGATCAGAATAGCCAGTGGATTAAGGAATTATACTATTTTATTATTGACTCACAGCATGGCTCAACTAACAGTTTTCATTTATCAGACTAGAGAGTTCTACAGATTCCAGTAAAATTTTATAGAGTAAAAACATATACATAAGATTTTCCATTTTATTTATTTATTTTTTAAGCAATGATTTCCCTTAACAGAGAACACAGAAAAAGAAATTTCTGTTTTTGTTTTTTGTGCTGCTGGGGTTATACCCAGGGCCTCAGACAAGCTAGGCAAGCATTCTACCACTGGGCTATACCCCTACCTCAAGAAAATGTTAAAATGGTAACAAATTACCAACAGAAGTATTACAATAAAAGTCTATGAACAGTATCATGGGAGTTCAAATTCCTACATAAAGGGAAGAGATATAGCAAAAGCATGAGAGGTGAATGTGAGATATTTTGGAATCAGAAAACAAGCAGAAATGGTCATGGAGACCAATAGAAGATGCAGTTATAAATCATGAAACAGTTCATCATGAGGAAAATGTCAATCTTTGCAGTGACATCAACAGTGCCCACTATTTGTCTGAACTGTGTGCACAGATCATACATATCCTGTGAACAGAAAATAGGAATTACTCACAAACATTCCCAATGACAATCATAGCAGGGCAACAAAGGGTATAGCCTAAAATGGAACAACCTCTCTCTGATGTCAGGAAAATGAGGCCCTGGTTCTCTGGAGGAAACTGTCATGTTGGGGACTGCAGAAACTAGGCAACAAGCCTCTGACTGATACTGAAATCACCCAGCACTTGGCACTTCCTCTATGACCAGGTACTCAGTAGACCTCTAGTTAAATACTTCACTATGGCCTATGGTGAACTAGAAAAGGGAAGGACTACATATATTCTTGGAGGAAGTCAGTAGTAAGAGCAAGACATCTTCATTCTGAGAAGATTTCACACATTTATTGAGCAGCTGGTTTTGTGTGAGGCAGGGGGAAATAATGAGGAGCAAGAATCCTACTATTAAGGAACTTAGTGAGGGAGACAAGAAAGACCAAAACAATGGCATAAAAATATGTAAAAATGTACCATATGGTTGAAGCTCTGAAAGAAACAGCTAGTGGGATCTCAGGGAAGGAAGGGAGACAGTAATTTTCGATGAGGAAGTGACAAGGATCAGTCATTTGCAAAGTACAGAGATGAAGCAGAGCTCTAAATTGGGACCCATTCTGCTTTCAATGATAAGTCAAGAAGAGTTTGAGCATGGTAGGTACATAATTTTAAATTAGATTTAAAGAGGATCCACATTCTTGCCATAAGGAATGGATCAGAGAAGGACAAGAGGTAACACAAAGAGCACGTGGAGTGTGCAGGACTATTTGTCTTAATGTAACAGGACAGCCCATGTTTTATCAACTATCAATATCCTTAGAAAAAGGTAACAATGGAAGATAATGTCTTCTTGAGTATATATGGAAAATTAAATATGATTTTTAATGACCAAATTTATCATGAAAAATTCGAGAAAATGGTGGGAGACGATAGCTTTCTCTATTAGACTCCGTGAATGAGAAGAGTCTGGATCACAAAGGATAGACTGTATTTAGAAGAGAGCAAAAGAGAGGACGAGCACCGAGAGCCACAAGAGAGGGGCAGACAGCTGAAAAATACAACAAAACAGAAAGGCAACAGAGTAAATTAAGAAACAGTTTGCAGCTCCAGCCCTGGCTCACCAAAGATAAGGGGAAGCCAAAAGCCTCCACCCCAAGGTAAACCAGGTAGCCTCTCCAACAGACTGGCAGACCTAGCGATGGGACAGAAACCATACCTTCCATAAGACCTCTACAATGAAAACTATAAAACCTTGAAGAAAGAAATCAAAGACACCAGAAAGACAGAAAGACCACCCATGTTCATAGACTGGCAGAACATTGTGAAAATAGCTATACCACCAAAAGCAATCTACAGATTGAATGCAGTGCTCATCAAAATCCCAATGTTGTTCTTCATGGAAATAGAAAAAGCAAACCCAAATTTCATAGTGAAACATAAAAACCCCCAAATATCAAAAACAATCTTGAGGAAAAAGAGCAATGCTAGAGGTAACACAATACCAGACTTCAAATTATACTACAAAGCCATAGCTAAAAATACCAAAACAACAACAAAAAACAGCATGGTATTGGACTAAAAACAGACATTAAGACCAATAGGAGGGAATAGAGGACCTAAAAATAAAATCACACAACTATTGCAAAAAACAGACATTGGAGAAAAGACAGCCTCTTCAACAAATGGTGCTAGGAAAACAGGCTGTCTACAAGCAGAAGACTGAAACTAGACCCCTATCTCTCACTCTGTACAAAAATCAACTCTAAATCGACCAAAGATCTGTATGTAAGTTCTGAAGTATTCAAACGACTACAGTAAAAAAAATAAGTAAAACTCTGGAACATATAGGCATAGGTAATTATTTTCTAAATAGGACTTCAATTGTCTAGGAAGAAAGAGTAAAAATTGACAAGTGGGGCTGCATCAAATTAAAGTTTACCAGAAATCAAGAGATAGCCCAAAGAATGGGAGAAAATATTCACCAGCTATTCAACACATAAGGGATTAACATCCACGATATACAAAAAGCTCAAAAAAACTAAACAGCAAAAGAACAAAATAATCCAATTAATAAATGGGCAAATGAACTGAACAGACAGTTCTCAGAAGAAACACAAATGACTAGTAAATACACGAAACAATGTTCAGCATCCTTGGCTATGAAAGAAATGCCAGTCCACATTGAGATTCCGTCTTACCCAGTCAGACTGGCAATTGTCAAGAAAACAAAAAATAACAAATGCTGGCAAGCAGGTAGGGAAACAGGAACCCTTTTATACTATTGGTGGGAATGTAAACCACCATGGAAATCAGTAATGGAAGCTCCTTGAAAAACTAAAAATAGATTTACCTTATGACTCTGCCATACCACTCTTGGGCATATATCCGAAGGAGGGTATATCAATATATGAGAGATACCTGCACACCCATGATTATCGTAGCTCTTTTTACAACAGCCAAAATGTGGAAACAGCAGAGGTGGCCAACAACTGATGAATGAAGAGTGCATTATATGGAGATATATGTGTGTGTGTGTGTATGTGTACACACACAGAGAGACCATAGAATATTATTCAGCTATAATGAAAAATGAAATTATGTCACTTGCAGGAAAATGGATGGAACTGGAGATCATCATGGTGAGTGAGAGAAGCTAAACTCAAAAGGCATGTTCTTGCTCATTTGTGGAACCTGACCTAAAATGATGGTGGTGGTGGTGGTGGGATTGATTATGATGATGACAGAAGAAAGAAGAAGGAAGAATAAGGAAGAGGAGACACTGAAAAAGGGGGAATGGAAGTATAATGGGGGAGGTACACTATACAAATGTACAAAATTATCACAGAGAAATCCCCTTGTATTATTAATATAAGATTTTCAAATTTAAGATTGAGAATATTGAAAGGTAAATATATTAAAGGTAAAACTATACTTAAACGTTTTTTAAATTATGTGAAAATAAAGTCAATCAAATTTATTTTATAGGCAAGACAGCTGCATTTCAGATGACTTGTGAGAAGTTACCTTAGACAAATCTCTGAAGTTGCTGGGCAAGGTAAGATCTAGTTCTTCTGACTCATAATTGGTGATGACCCAGGGAAACACAGGGTACTGATTTAAGTCATTGTAACCCCGTCCTGGTAGGGGGAAAAAGGTCACCGTTACTTTTCAATAAAAAATGAAAGGTAAATAAATTGTGTAATATAATATACTAAGACAAGAACAACTAAGACTTTTTGAGTGTCACTCATTGTTTTTCTGCAAGTAATTATTTCATTTGATCTTTGCAATAACCCTGTGAAATCACCTCCATTTTATTGAGGAAAAATCAAGATGCAAAAGTTTAGCAAACTTACCTCAAACCACATGGCTAGTAATGGTCAAACCATATTCAAATTCAGATATTCTGGTCCTAAAGTTTATGATCTGTCAAAATGCACTTACTTGACTATTTTTTTTTATTACTTGAAAGCCTGCCCCAAATAAGTGCTCTTTTGGGGATAGGAGAGGATTGATGGAGATTAAACCTAGGGCCTCCTGCATACTACATCTGAAGATCCCATTTCACCTTCATTCAGTCCCTATAATCAACCTTTTCTGCTTGCTTTGAAAATGAGTCCCAGTAAGTTCCCAAATGCCAAACCCAAGGCATGTCCTGTATGCAATTCTCCCTTACCTTTCTGTAACACTTGCCACAGGTGACAATGACTTCCTGTTTCTCTTCACCCTTGCCTCCGAAGACATTTGATTTACCTCCATTCTCCTCCCACTACATCTAAAAACTCTAGGACCACTCATTCTTTTCTCTCTCTACTTCCCAAGCACTTCAGATAAGGGATACTCAACTTGAACTCAGATTTGTTTGTAAAATAACTTCCCTGAAATTAAACAACATGCCTTATTCTCTTTGTATGTCTTCTGTGCCTCAAATACAAACTGTGTCCATTTGTTGAAATGAATCTCAAATGTCTTACAAATGTTTTCTTTATTCTAGTTGGCACAAATGGAAAATAATAAGATATTTCTATTCTTTATTCTCTTTCAAAGAACAATTTCAATGCATGATTTTCAATGATGTTACATGAGTACAGACCTGGTGAAGGGCCATTTAGTCTTCAGAGAGTCATTTTGGTCATAATGTAAATATTAGTTTGTTTAATATTTTACCCACAGTTTTATTTTATCCATGTTGTATTTCCTTTTTCATCATATAACATTCCTAAGTTATTATAGGTTCTTAAATTTTCGTATGTTCTCATTTCTACCATTTCACAAGAAGCCAATTCTTACTATATTAAATAATTATAAATTCTCATTTTCTCCCTTTTGGAAAAAGGTTTTACTATTCATGCTTTTCATTTCTCAAGTATCCAACTGTTCATATACAAAGCTAGAAACTCCTTTATTAACCTACTTTTATAAGATATTCTACTAGCAACAAAAATAAGCTACTTACGCCAGTATCTAAAATGACCTAATCATACCACAATTGTAATTTATTATTTTAAATGTCAGTGTGTGCATTAAGATTACCTGCGATTGTGTTGAGAAACATCAAGTACTCAAAATTGGAAATCTCTCTGTGTTGCCACCTGTGGGTCATGTTGGAAGCTTTAAAAAGCTGCCGTGGACTAGCTAAGGAAATGCGCCTGCAGAGAATCACAAGAATTCAATGTGAAATCAACTGAAATTTAAAGAGCAATTATATTACAATGATAAATCATCAATTTTCTGTGCTTATTCAATATTCACAATGAAATGTGTAATTCCGAAGTTCTATTCATGTTAGGCTAATGAGTACTAGCGATATCTCAATCTACATTTAACAGTTAACAAGTGCTGTGGACTAGGCACAGGCCTATTATGCCTCTCCCATCATTCAGGTAAGCTGTCATTACATGCCATTATAATACCCAGGTTCAAAAAGGCTGATTAAAGCAGCGTGATAATAACTCCTGGAAAAATGCATGTAAAACTATATTCACGTCTTTATCAATTTTAAAACTCACCTCTTAAAAGATAAAACACTCACACATTATAAATTTAAATATTATATTTTTACATCCTTTGAAACAAGGTGAAAGAGGTCTCTAAATGATTTATGGGTGGGATACAGGTAAGAGAAACCACTCAGAATTTTTTATAAATTTATTAGAAAACCAAGTTAAAGAAATGAGAGTCTAAGAAATGTGGGCTGTCACAGTTCTTCTTACCAAGGACAAGGCAACTATTTCTTTAAAAGAGTTAATTGGTCTGGGAGCAGAGGCTCATGCCTGTAATTCCAACTACTAGAGAGACAAAGATCAGTAGGATGGTGGTTCAAGGCAAGTCAGGTAAAAAAAATCTAGCAAAACCCCTATCTCAGCCAACAAGCTAGGTATGGTGGCACGTGCCTGTAATCTCAGCTACTCAGGAGGCATGGGTAGGAGAATCATGATCTGAGGTTGGCCCTAAGCAAAGATGTGATATCCTATCTAAACAATAACTAAAAAGCAAAAAAGAGTGAGGTGTAAGTCTCAAGAGGTGCAGCACCTGCCTAGGAGGCACAAAGCCCTGAGTTCAAAGCCTGACACTTGGGGAGGTACAGTTTACACCCACAGAATTTAAACACTGTGAGCACACTTCAATGACTTTTGAAAAAGAATTTCTAGAGTTGTACATCACTGCCACAATCTACTTTAGAATATTTCCATCACCACAGTCCTCTTTCCTTATGCCTACTTACAGTTAATCCCCATCCAGCTCAAAGTAGCCACCAGCCCACCTTCCTGTCTCTCTGAACCTGCCTTTTCTGGGCATTTCAGATAAATCACACATTGTTTGGTGTTCTGTGTCAGAGTTCGCCAACTAACCATGATGTTTTGAGGTTCGACAATATGATAGTGGGCATCAGTAGTTCATTCTTTTTTCACTGCTGCATAGTATCCCACTATATATATAAAATTTACTGCATTTTAACCTTGTTGATGAACATTTAAATTGCTTCAGTTTTTGGCTATCGTGGATGATGTTATCATGAACACTGACATACCTATCTTTGTATGAACGTATGTTTTCATTTCTTCTGAGTAGATTCTTAGCAGTGGATTTGCATGTTGAGTTTTATTTGAATTTTTTTGTGTGAAACTATCAAATTATGTTCCAAAGTCATGGCATCACTGTCCATTCCCAAAAGCAATGTATGAATGAATCTGCACATCCTTGTCAACACTGCTGCTGTGCATGTTGTTAGCACAGCTGTCCTGGTGAGTGTGGAGCACCATGTTGGTGTAGGTCTATTGCTGAGCATCTTCTATGGTTACTAGTCATTGGTACGATGTCTTTGGTGAATTGCCATTTAAATCTTTTCTCCCATTAATTAGGTTGTCTGTCATTACTTATTGAGTTGTAGGAGTTCTTTATTCATTCTGGATATGAGTCTGTGAGGGTTAATTTTATCTGTCAACTTGACTGAGTTAAAGTATACCCAGACACAGCCAGAGAAGCTGATATATATCTGGACCTGCCCATGAAGCTGGTCCAGGGAGATGAGCATTTGAACTCAGGAGACTGAAACAGATGGCCATCCAATGTGGATGGGCAGCTGTCGATTTGAGGTCTGAACAGAACACAAAGGAGAAAGGGTTAAATCCCTTGTCTCTTACCCTCTATCTAGGGCCTCTGGACACTGGAGTTCCTGGTCCTCTGTCTTCTATCCTCCCCACCCCAATTCTCAGGCCTCTAGGGCATAGGCCTGGCCATTGGCTCCACTGGACTTGGAACTACACCACTGGCTTACGAGAATATCCAGCTTGTCGCTTGCATGTCATAGGACTCCTCAGCTTCCATGATCACATGAGTTCATTCCCATAGTAAATCTCTTACATTTTCGTGCATATATATTAGTTATTTTTCTCTGGAGAGTCCTAATACAATTGCTTTATCAGATATATGACTTGCAAATATTCTCCCAGGTTGTGGTATACTTTAAAGCACACAAGTTTTGAATTGTGATTAAATCCAATTTCTCCATTTTTTTTTTCACAGATCTTTCAGTGTCAGATCTAAGAACTGTGTGCCTATCCCAATATCGCAAAGGTTTTCTCCTATGTCTTCTTTTACACATTTTATAGTTTTAGCTTCTTCATTCATATCCTATGAAATATTTTGAGTTAATTTTTATGAATAGCATGTAGTAGTTAGCATCTAAGTTTTTTTAACATTTGAATATCTCATTATTAAGCATTCCTGTTTTAAAGACTCTCTTTTCCTCATTGTATTGAAAAACAGCAGACTATAAACGCAAGTATTTATTTCAGTATTTCCAACTTTGTTCCATTGATTTATATGCCTATCATTGCACAAACATAATAGGAATTTGGAGGCTGCTTTTGCTAAAAGCATGGACTCCTCACTTGGGCTTCAGACACCAAATGAATAACTACGACAGGATAAAAGCTTTGTATCTCTGCTTTCATTTCATATGCATCTCCTTTACTAAATTAAAACTTTGGGTCAGATTCCTGCTCAACACTGCAAAAAGGCATGGTAATCATTTAAGGAGTTTTCATCTAAGGCTCATAATCCTCCCCCTTGAGAATGAAGGCACCAAGATAAGAGGAACTAAGGTATTTTCAAGATTTGCAGAGACATCACAATCAATAGCTTGTCAACCACCAGCTTTGACAATGTCCTGTTCCAGATCCTCAGAATGGCACCTACAAGTCTCTAATCATTGTCCTAAAACTGCCAGGAACAGTGAGAATTGTAAGCAAATCACCCCCTGATGTGACTGACCCCTTAAGGAGGAGCAATTATCCCATGACAGAACTCAGGCTGAGCCCCTAAACAGGAGCAATCATCTGAGCATGGGGACAGAACTGCCCCCTTAAGCCATAAGTATGCCTCCAGGACCTTGCAGACCAGACATGAGATGATGATCAACCAGACCACAGTGTGACTAGGATGGCTTACTTATACATACCTCTAGCCCCTTGCCCCAAATCTTCCTCTAGTTAAACCTAAAGCTCATGCCTGTACCCATAAAGACAGGGCTGAAGATGCTGGTCCCTTTGTCTTCCTGGTACAGCTTCACCAAATAAAATTCCTTTCCTAATTCACCATGACTTTTTTGTGTTTTCTTTTGGAACTAATGGCTGAACCTGATTTGCTGGGACTCCCCAAAGTCGGTTCCCCTCTGGCCTAAGATTCTAGTGGGAGAACTGTCATCTAAACAATATTAAGTCTTCTGACCCACAAACAAGGAATGTCACCATTTATTGAATCCCTTTTTAAATTCTCTTATAAATGTTTTATAGTTCATTATGCAAATATTATACTTCCTTTGTGATCTAGGAATGATCACTTTTTTCTTTTGTTCTCTTCTGGATGACTTCATTTCTCCTTCATTCCACTCTTTCCTCTCCCTGTTGCACAGGCAGCAATCTTCAATGTCACACTGAGTAGAAGTGTAAGGACGCTGGACATTTTTACCTTCCCAGATTTAGGGGGAAGGGACCCAGTCTTCCAAAAGTAAAAATGATGTATACTATGGGTTTGGTTTTTTTTTTCTATAGATGATTTTTATCATTTAGTAGTAATTCTTACTATTTCTAATCACTTGAGAATTTTAATCATGAATGTGTGTTGGATTCTGTCTTTGCTATTGATATGATCAGTGGTTTTTGTCCTTTATTCTATTAAGCACTATACATTGATTTTCATATTTAGAATAATTTGCATTATGATAAAACCAATAAGGCATTTTATACTTATTTCCATATACTGCTTAACTCAGTATATTAAACTTTGTCAAGGATTTTTGTGTCTCTGTTCACAAGGGAACCTGGCCTATAGTTTTTCTTGTTTCTTGTGATGCCTTTGGCACTGGGATTGAGGTGATGCTGGCCTTATAGAAGGTCAATGTTTTGTCCTCCTCTGTGTTGAGTTTGTGAAGACCTAATATAATTTCTACCTAATTATTTGATAGAGTTTACTAGTACAGACATGTGGGCCTGCGCTTTTCTTTATGGATTGATTTTTTTTAAACTAACAATTCAATTTCTTTACTTGTCATAAGTCATTCCGATTTAATTTCTTATTGAACCAGTTTTGGTGATTCTGTTTTCTATGAATTTGTTAGTATCATTTAAGTTGTCTAATGGTTGCTTAAAATTGCTAATGATTTCAAATCCTTTCAATTTCAGTTTGCTCAGCAGTGATGCTTGACATTCATTTATGATTTACTATCATCTATTCTTTTTTTCATGTTTGGCTAAAGTCTGTCAATGTTATTAATCTTTTTTTAAGAATCAACTTTTATTCCAGTGATGACCTTTACTGTTTTTATTTCACTTATTTCTGCTATAATCATCATTATTCACTCTTTCCTACTTTGGTTTTAACTTGATCGTATTTTCAGTTTTCTAAAAGATTGTAGTTTAAGTTACTGGTGTAAGGAATTTTTGTATTTCAGAGATAGATGTTTAAGGCTATAAATTTCTACTGAGACTACTTTAGTCATATCCTATAAATTTTAATGTTATAGTTTTATTGGATAGAAGCACAAAATCACTGAAATTGCTAGGCACAAGAATGCCCAAAGCACTAAGAACAGCACTGCAGAACCATGGCGGCATGCATGAGGACAAAAAGAAAGAGGCTCCCAAACCAGGCCCTATCTAGAAGCTACGATACACATAGGGAAGATAGTGATGCAACCCTGGAAGAAGAAATTAAAGGGGGTGGTGAGGAAGCCTTCCCATTGTTCCAGCCATGCAGCCTCATCTACTTCTTTTCCAGCGGTAGCAGATGTAACCCCTAATATAAATGTGCTAAACTGCTTGGATAGTGCTCCTGTGTGTGTGGGTCAGTGGGTGGGGGTGGGGGAGTGTCTGAATTCAAGTGATACAGTTGAGCGAAACTCACTGTGAGGTGGGAAAACTGAAATGACATTGTGAGTGCAGCCTTTGGGCTTATGCCAATTGTTACTGCATAACACCAGCATACATTTGCACTGTACATGCCAATGGAGTGTGAGAACACACCGGGCTAAAAGGAGCCACCGGTAGGAAAAGAACAGTAGGACTAACTCCCCTGCCATTTGCCATCAGGGGTGGGTCAGTATTTAGCACAGCATCTTTACCATCTCATGTCAGCTGGCTGAAAAGCCCTATGTTTTGGTTTGAATGGCGCTGAGTGCAGTGCTACTACCTCTAAACCAAAAACGCAGTTCATGAACTCCAGCAAAACTCAGACTCTACTTGCCAAGTACAGCCTGTTGACACCGTAGAAAATCCACAGCATTCAGTCCGTGGCAGTCAAAACCTGAGGCTGCTAAGTGCAGTGGACAGTTCCAGTCCAACCTTCTGGATTTCTCATCAGATCTGGTGGTCTTTAAATACTGCCCCATGGCATGACATTTTCATAGATTTCTAGTCTTTTGAGCCACTCTTGTTTTTGTTGGTTTGGTTAAGCTGAGGAAGCAGGTGGGAAAGATGTCCTATTTTTTTTTTTATCCAACCTTTGTAAAATCACCTTATTGGTCTTAATTACTGTAGAAATCCCTCCTCAAATAAACTCCTTCTCTCTATGGCTTCTAATTTCATCCACAGGATGGTGACTCCAGTGGCTAGACCTTTATTCTAAATTCTAGATAGCTTCTTGTATTTAACTTCCCATTCAGTGTTTCCAACTGGACATCTCTCAGGATTTTCACTCATTTTCCATCCATCTGTCTCCTCCTCACAACCCAAGCCACAAGTACAGAGGGTATAGACACAGCCGTGGCTTGTCCAGCATTCCTAATCTCAGTGGAAGCCACTCCCTCTCTTATCAACCCTCCACTCTGACTAGAAATTGAATTTCCTATAAATGTCTAACCAAGGATGCCTCCCTTCAATTACATCATCGTCATCATAATCATCATCATCACCATCACCCTGACTTTGACAATAGACTCCTACCTGTCTCCTACCTGTCACTCTCTTCCCAAATTGCTTGATTTCCATGGGTGCTTGCCTTCCCACATTTCCTTCTGCCTGCCTTGCTTTGGGGCCTTTGCACACACTGTTCAGTTTAGTTGGTTTTTCAAATCAATCTTAAGTCACAAAAGGAAGACATTCCTGACCACCTTATCCAAAGAAAACACATCCACTAATCACTATCATAACACTGTAATTATATCCATCCTGTCACACTTATCACAGCTATTTGGCTTGCATATTTATTTCAGTATATATGGACAAAATGGTATTATCTTGTACATTGCTGGGTGCCTGGCACTTTGTAACAGTTTAAAATTTACTTCAGTGCCTGATTAATAAACTAAGACTTTTATTAACTGTGGGAAAACATTACAAAGAGCTCCCAGGTATAACATAGTAGGTAATGAATAAAACTTTCATAAAAATAAAGGGTACTTTCATTAAGATAAGGAAATCTATGCTCTTATGGAGCTGCAACCTAATGAACACTGAAATTCTCCTTTCCTCTCCTTTCCCCTCTGCTCCCCCACCACCCCATCGAAGTCAAGGCCTTCTCCATGCTAGGCAAGTGCTCTACTACTGAGCTACACTCTCACCCTAAAATTCATTGAATTATAATATTATGGAGTCAAAGTCATCCCTGTAGTAAATAGTACAGCAACTATTGCATTAATCCAGAAAGGTTTTGTCCAATTCACTTAGAAGATGTAACCTGGGGTGGTCTGGAAGTAGAGCTACAAAAGTTGATGCTTAATGTCCTTCTCCTGAAGCCTGAGCTGTAGTTAGTGACTGACTTATGAGTAGTACAATGTGGCAAAAAATGATGAATGTTATTCTCAAGGGTAATATGGCTTCTGCCTCATGTCTCTTGGATCACAAGTTCCGCAAGTCAGCTCCAAGTCATATAGACACTTAAGAAGCAGATGAGGGGTGGACTTGTGTGGAGATAAGAGCTCCTGCTAAGGGACACCTGGAAGTCTTGTAGCCCCAGGCTGACTATAGATCCCACCAACATCTTGACTGCTATTTTTGCATACTGCTGCAGTTGTAGTATCAACAGCTCAGGATTGGGGATACAGTGCAGTGGTAGAGAACTTGACTAGCATTCATGAGGCCCAAGCACCCCGCCAGAAAAAATAAGTTCAAAACAATACAAAATTAGGCATGCTAAAAGTAAATTATAAGTTTCCACTATTAATAGAAATAATTAGTGACAGTGCTATTTAAATATAGTCAACTAACTGGTATACAGTGAAGAGATCCATATGTTTACACTGTCCCAACTGCCTACACTATGAGAGATGCTATACAGTGAAAACTATGAACACTGATAAAGAAATTAAAGAAAATGCAAATAAATGGAAAGATATCTAATATTCATGGATTGGAAGAGAATTAATATGATTAAGAATTAATATAGTTCAAATGTCTTTTTTTTCTTAGTCTAGCTAAAGGCTTATTGATTTGGCTTATCTTTAAAAAAAAAAAAACCCAAATCTTAGTTTCTTTGACCATTTCTATTGTTTTTCCATCCTCTAGGTCAATTATTTCTGCTTTCATCTTTATTGTTTCATTCCTCCCACTAATTTAGGAATAAAATAGCTGGATTACAGGATATGCAGCGTGCAGGTTTACTGGGTGTTTCCAAAGAGTTTTACAGAATACTAATTCATACTCTTGGGCAGCAGTATATGAGTTTAAGATGTTCTAAATCTGACCTAATACTTGGTGTCACCTCCATTTTTCCATTATGATGAGAGTACAGTGGCATCACATTGTAATGATACATTCTTAGTGGCAAAACTAAAAAGCTAAAAGAACATTTTCTAATTTGAGTAAAAGTGTCTCTCTCTCTCTCTCTCTCTCTCTCTCTCTCTTTCTCTTATATACACACATACACATTGCTAAGGAAGGTTTTAAAATCTTTTATTGAATGATTATTTGGTGGTAAGTACTCTGTTGGACATTGTACTACATATATCACAATTCAGTTGACTCAAAATACAACATAAAACAATAATAATCACCAACTACTATGAAGTTTAAAAGAGGTTATACATTTCAAAATAGGTGTAATTAAGGGGATACTGATGCAGAGTATTACCACATTTTTCTCACATAAAACAGTACCTGGTTTGAGGTAATCCAAAACTGGTTCCAACACCAACACGAGGTAGATAGTTGACTACTTTCTTTACTGTTGCAGGGTCTGGGAAGTTGAACATTACAGCAACTAAAACAAATAATTTTTTGAAATCAGAATATGACATGATTTCCTTACTGGAAAACTGACTTTTTTTGTTTGTTGGTGTTTTTTTATATTTTTATTAGCATATTATAGTTATACAGGGGGATACATTGTGGCACGTACATATGTGTTTACAATATATCTAAATTAGATTCACTTCCTCCATCTTTCTCTCTCACCACCCCCCCCATAGAACCATTTCAACAGATTTCAGTGTTCTATTTTTATACATTCACCATATTTGCCTTCCTTCAACTTCTCCTAACTTCTTAGTCTGACAGAATAGTTACTCTTGGTTCAGGCATCTATTAAATACATTTCACACTATATTGCTTTTGTTGTAGTATATATCAAGTTTTAGTATTAATCTCCCAGAGGTAACACTTGTTTCACTTATGAACTCCTTTCTCTAAGTTATTGCCAGGAGTTCGAAAAACAACTGCTATAAACAGTTGTAGCTGAGATTATCTAGCTACAACTCTGAATCTAGCTACAACTTGTTAAAACTGGATTTTAACAAGTCAAGCATCTAGAGAGAACTTTTTAAAAATTTAAGTTTATAAAGTTACCCATCTAACACTAAAAGCTACAAATATAGCTATGAAAACATCAGTTACATTTATTTCTGGTGGTGAACAACCGAAAAATATTTTCTTTGCGATGGTTATGTGTTTATATTTCATATGCTCATTTACAGAGTGCGGGTCCTGAAAGAAAACTTTTCCTCTATGATTAACAATGAATTTTTTTTTTTTTGGTACTGGAGTTTGAACTCAGGGCCTACACCTTGAGTCACTCCACAAGCTCTTTTTTTGTGATGGGTTTTTTTTTCATCAAGGTAGGATCTCATGAACTATTTGGCCGGGTGGCTTCAAACTGCAATTCTCCTGATCTCTGCTTCCTGAGTAGGCAGAATTACAGGCGTGAGCCACCAGCATCTGGCAATAATGAAATTTAAATGCTTTGTAATCATTTCTGTTTCAATACTTATACATGCATGAGAACATCATGAAGCACCTATCAATATAAAATATATTCAGCATATAAATGTTAATTTATGACAGTAATATGTAGATCTTTATCCCTCTTAAAATATGACAAGAGAGAATTCAGATGATATTAATTTGATCAGTTTTGAAATTGTAACTACATGCTAACAACAGAATCAGACTCACAAGTGTTCATCAAGAAGGTAGTCCTCTATAACTAGACTGAAAATACACTTAAAGTAAAAAAAAATTACCTATGTTAGTTGAACACTGGCATTACCAACATGTTCTGTAAATAATTAATTGATCTAAGCACCTAGAAGATACTCAATAATATCCTGTATATACAGCATTTCAATAAGCCTTCCATACACACTATATTGATAAAGAGAAAATTAAAAAAAAAATTGTAGGTTATGGCAGATGACCAAGGTCATTGTGAGAAGCAACAAAAACACAAGTATGCATAAGAAATTTCGAAGAAGGAAAGTGAATGTGAAAGAGCAAGTCATAAATATTGTAAGATTGCAACTCCTTTAGGACAAGAACGTAGAATGAAGTAAAGTGAGGCTGGGTCCCTTGATTATTTGTCTAGAAGAATCATGCTTACATTAGAAAAAAAGGTGTGTGTGGGGGAGGAGGGGCTGAACACCACTTAGAAAAGGGAAAAAACATGTTTCCCTAAAGGTACGCTTATTCCCTGAAAACACATTATTTCATAAAGGGAAAACAAAATGTGTACATGGAATATGTGCTGTTGAAGTTAGCCAGGCTCAGGTCAAAAAGCGTATGTTCTCCCTCATATGTGGACTTTAGACCTAAAACAAATGCAGTAATATTACTGGACATGGGTCACACCCTAAGGGGAGAACACATACAGGAGGAACTGGGAAAGGTAGGAAACCCAAAACTTGAAAGTATTTGATGTGCCCACTGTCGAGGAGTTAATATAGCAACCTTAAAATGACAGAGGTCACTATGGAAGGTGACCAGGAAATAGTGAAGAGGTCTGGTAGAGATGAACCAGTTTGGATTGTAAAACACAAGTGCAAGGAAACAAGAATCTCTCTGCACAGCTATCTTTATCTCAAACTAGCAAAAATGCTATGTCTTTCTTATTATCTCTTTTGTTTTCTCTTCAACAAAATTGGAGAAGAGGGCAGAACTATTCTGCCTGGAAGCGAGGTGGGTGGGGGGAAGGGGGCTGGGGGTAGGGGGTAAGAGATGGCTCAAACAATGTATGCACATATGAATAAATGAATAAACAATAAAAACTGTGCTGTTATGTGTAGATTTTTAACACAACAAAAAGATTATAGAAAAAATAAGAAACAATGAACCTACATTTATACAAGGAATACACACAACAAATTACTAGATTTAATAGATTTTCCTTTGTAAAGCTCCATTTATACAACAATGATGCTTTTCCTTGAAGTTCAACTTGCCTCACCTTCTTGTCTTTATGGATTTCACCAAGTCCCATTCTAAACCCACAAACAGAATTTTATGCAACTTTAAAAAATGATGTAATACAAAGCAGCCATGGCCATTCAGTGCCATTTTCTGATGGTCCCTTTATAAACACCAATAGATTAGATAAAAGATAAAATAAATGCATGAGTAATTTAATTATCTTCTCCTATCCCCAAATGCAGCCTTCTAAAGCCTGGCACCAATTTCTGATATGGCCAGAAAAAGAAAAGAACTACAAATGATTCTACAAATGACCAAGGCAGAGAAAGCCTATGAAGATCCATGTGGTATAAAAAATGAGGTCAGTAGGGCAGAGAGTAGACTACAAAATCCAATCTAAATGGAAACAATATGGTATGCTCAACAATGACATCGTAAAGGGATGGAAGTTGGCTCTGCAACAATGTATTTCTGCAACATATTACCTCTGTTTGCCATGAAAATCTCCAGGGCTGTATTTTGCAAAAGATAACGCCGAGAAAAGATTGATCGTATCTCTGTGAACAGCCATTTTCCGTGAAGCCCTTCTGTATATGCCAGAATCTAGTGAGGAAAAAAAAAGGAAGCAGCAAAGTAAAAATACTAGATTGTGTTGGTGGTGTTTTCGTTCCCCAATTAAAATAAAAAAGACTGTTGAGAAAAATAATTTTTAAGAAAAAGAATTTAAGGGTTATTAAAATAATCTGGAAAGAGATGAAGAAAATGCATTGCAATTTACAAAAAAGAAGCTTAAATGAAAAAGCAGAGTAAAATTATAAAACATCTAATTATAAATATACATTTGAGCTTTTAAAAATAATGATGTAATCCATTGTTTCTCAGGAAATACATACTACATTACTTATTGTTTTTAAAATCCTATTATGGAAAACAAAGTTTCAGATCAAATTTTAAAGAAGAAAGAATTTAAAAGAATGCCATTAGTTTTACATGATTATAATTTGCCCAGTAGTACCTTTTACATACTTCTAGAGATACATGTCAGTTCATAACTTTAAAATAATCACATTTTTAAGGTAAGTGTTAAGCAAATCATTCAAAAACACAGACTAACTGCATAAGAGGTTAAGTATCATTTTGTCAGGTAAAGCTCAGCCTAAACTGCAAATGAACTCGGCATAGTCTCTCTACGGAGTGGGTGGTTGTCAGAGTAACTTGTTACAATCCTTGTCATCCCATGTGACAGACACAGTTGCTTAAAATTCTTTGCCAATTCAAAATAATCCTGTCTTTAGTCCTAAGCACCACTTTGTTGCCTGGTTATTCAAGTTTTGTTTTTCAAAAAAAGATTATCTCAAAAGCTTAATTATGAAACTGCTAAAGGAACTGAGATTCAACATATTTCCACAAAGAAAATGATGTGCACTTGCCATTAAGACCTGAAAAAAATCTATGAAAGAAAATAAAGTTTAAAAAATTGAGATATGTCCTTTCCAAGTAATCACCAGTAAGCAATACAAAGAAAAGAGCATTTGATTATGATATTGCATTTCATATCACCTGTCTCTGCATAGGGATACAGATGAGATATGCAAAGGAGAAAAAGGAACGAGTATTAAGAGTTTATCCCACACACTGTCCTCCTCTTTACTCATTTCCATTTTCCAAATCTATATTCTTCAATGCAAAATGCAGTTCATTTGAAAGAAAAAACTCTTACTTAATTCAGTAAATAAGTAGTTTTATTTTTCTACAAAAATGATTCTATTTCTGGTACAACAGGAGCTAGAAATGGGTACTACTTCAAGTTGCAATGTTTTTTAGAAAAATGAAAACCTCAAACAACGAGACAATCACGCTGTTTTAAAGTTGGTGATAGAGGAATCCTACTATTCAGTCATACAACAAACACCTACATAAGCAAGATGGAGAGAAATGAACAAGCTTCTGCCTGTATTTTCTCACCTGTTTTCTTCTCTGCCTGGAAAGTTCTTCCAAATCTCTCACATTTGATTTTTACTCATATGTCACCTCCTCAGGTGGGATCTAAACACCACCTCATTTAGTACAAAGTCACCCCATCCCAAGCACATCAAATCTTCATAATACATAATACCTGAAATTATAATACTCATTTATTTGTCTCTTGCCTCTCCAGCACTAGAATGTTGGAATCCAAGTTCTACTTGTTCAAAGACATTGATTGTACTCTATCTTCACTCCCTTGAAAAACATCCCATACAAAGTAGGCATTTTTTGAATGACTGAATTAAAGCATGGCAGCCTAAGCTCTGCACATGGTCCCTTTCATTTTGTTTGGCACACAGAGTATTCTCACAAAACTTTAAGTAGGTAAAAATACTTGACAAAATGGCAATTCACATAAACATTCAGATTCCCAGCTTCTTGGGAACAGTGGCATATCTGGCAAACCTGCTTCTATATTCCACATGGTAACACCTAGCTGCACTGTCCATTTTGGCAGTCTCACATCACTCACTGCCATTTCCTAATGTGAAATGAGTATTAAACTCATGGCCTACTTACCAGTATTAATTCATCCAGGTATGAGTTTGCCAACAAGTATTGGAGAATCTCTCTTATATATTCTGTAACATTTATAATCCAATATATTCTATTCATAAGGAAAATGAGGTCAAGATATGTTAAATGATTAAAACAAAGTCCCTTGGAAAGTTAGTTACAAAGTATGGACTACTCACAGATTTTCTAATCCAAAAATCCAGAGTTTGATTATGTACCAAGTTGTCATGTTTCTTAAAAAGGATTAAATAAACTGGGCATGGGGTGCACATCTGTAATCCCAGCACTCGGGAGGCTGAGCCAGGAGATCTTGTTTAGTACCAGCTTGGGCTACAGAGGGAGACTGTCTCAAAAAAAACCCAAAAAACAAAAAACCAAAAGTGGAGGGCTGGGGGTAGTATCTGTTAAACTAGAACCTGGTTCATTAGAAATTTAATCAATTACATTTGTTTTCCTGTATTGGGTTAAAGAGGAAAATCAAAAGGAAGCAAACAAGGAAGGACCCTTAAAACACTGTAACAACCTAGGAATATCACACACTGATCTCAAAATTCTACCTTTCCTAAGAATAGAGCTAACCAATAGGACTTCTTGCCAAGCATGGTGATGCAGCTAAAGATTGAATTACATTCTAGAATATTCCATTTGCTAGCAGAAGTATGCCAAAACACTATTTTATAAGATTTTTAATGTACTGAGATAGTTTTCTGATTAATCAAAAAACTGAATTTATACTCCATTCCTTTATAGTATCCAAAGATTTGCCAGAAATACAAGTGTCATAAAATGTGCTTTATTTTATTCAATATCACAAATTTAAAAACTACACAAAATACATAAACCCTGTGCACCTAGTACTTAAACTTATAAAATCTTACTATTTTGCCATATTGCATGTATTTAAAAATTAAGGCCTTACATACCATTGAAACTCCCATGCATAACCCTTCCTGACATCATTTTCCCTCTAATATGAGGTTTATTATCCATACATACACTATGTGCACTATTTGTACATCTATTTCCCTAATCAGCATATAGCACTGCTTTACATGGTTCTAAACCTGACACAAAACATGTCACACTGAATGATAGTATGTTTCCAAAGTTAAATATAAGTATAAAATTACTTCTAAGTCAGAGAAAGAAAAACAGAGACAGAAAATTATTTTAAATTGCCAAAGGTATCAAATACTAACATTTGTAAACATACTAGCCTAATTCATTTTTTTTTAAAAAGAGAAAATGGATAAAAGAAATTCAACTGTTATGGTCAAGATAGTTGGGACTTAAAATAGAAATGAGGATTCTCACAACTAAAAAACTGCTACCTGAAATTGATAACAATATCATTTCTTTAAAGTATTCATTAGGAAAAGGTGTTAGCAATGAAAAGCAGCTGAGGCCTAGCAAAGCAAGAGGTTCATTTCTTATTTGAACAGTAGAAGTGCCTGGTCCGAGGCTTCACTTCAAAGTCTCTAGAGTTCAATTAAAACTGGATTAGGTAGAAGCAGACCCTTCTTTGGGACTTTCTGTTCACTGAGACTCTACATATACTGACAGCACCCTAGACAGAGGTCTAGCCCTCCAATGAATCCGTTACTATGGAAACCGTATCATTACCATTGCTCTGCAGTTATGACCCCAAGTCTAGAATAGCTTGAAAGCGTAAGCCAACAGCACTGTCTTTGAACGTTTACCACCTTGTTTTATTGCTATTAGTATGATTATTAGTGAATTCAACTTTCAATTTTTTATAATGTTTCAATAAGACTGGTTTATGGGTGAAATGTTAAAGTAAGGGTCTTAGAAGAGAAAGAAATCAGTATTTATTTACATATAATATATAACATATTCAATTTCTTTACATTAAAAAAAAATCAAACATACCTGCTGTGAAAAAGTATATATTTTCCCAAATACTATACACTTCTTTCTTAAAACCCTACAGATAGGTTACTATGAATACATGAGGAAATTTCTTACCCATGCTGCACTTATTCTTAGCTTAAAAGTATTTTTTACTCCCTTTAGCCACCCATTTTGCAAAAGCTTATGAATTCATCTAAATAAAATACTTTTGTTTCCCATCCTCATGAAAGACCAAAAATAGAAACATATATTGGCTGCTCAACTGGATGACACCCTTATTTACTGGATAGCTGATGTCTGAAGTGTAGATTTAAAATAGTTAAAACCATGTTTTATTTAAGTAAACAAGATGCGATGTTTCGTTTCAAATACTACCCTCAGGAAACTGTAAACATTTTAAAATTCTTATTGAAGAGGAAATTTTTAAGGGGAAAAATTTAAATGTGAAAATATTTTATCTCAAAAATAAGAAATTTCCACATGGACGTCTGCATATGTAGAATCAAGAAACGATTTTTTGGAAAGTATATTCTTGGTATTTAACACTAGCAGAACGTCCTACTTTACATACTTCCAAATTTCTGGAGAGGCTTTACTCTTTCAGGCAATTCCATATCAAATTCTGAAGAATGTGGCAACAACAATAAAATCAGATAACATATATCAACCATAGTATTTATTTGAAAGTTCACAACAAAACCATTTCCAAACTGTATGGATGAATTTACTATCAAGAAAAATGTTTCAAGCCTTGTATATAAAATATGAGCTAATCATGCCATCAAACACACAATGATACCGTGGCTACAGAGTTTAGGAATTATCTTCATCCTGTACTCATGTAACACAATTATGAGTAACAACAAAGCTTATACTTTAGTATGAGAAAACAGTTAATGTTTGGAATATCTTTAAAACAAAAACACATATTAAAAAATATTTTCAAATCAATTCCCCACTAAACAATATGCTTTACTTGCATAACTGTAATTTGGACAAATAAGCTTAATGTAATTGTAGTTAAGCATTTCAGTTGTATCACTATTATTAATGTATTTTTGTGAAACTTAATATCAAAGTATATCACTCAACTGATTCTAATAACATTGAATTCTAGTTGGTTTGATGATTTACTTCATTACCAACCATGACTTCTAGTGTTGTTTTCAAAGATATACTCCTAAAGC